ATGTGTGTTTTTGTACGACGACCCAGTGACAAGGCTGCCTGCAGCGCCAGCACAACGTATGACATCACGCACGCTGTTGAGTTTAGATTTGTGAAAATTACAAATTTGCACTGTTCGAGTGTTGTCATTGTGTTAGAGTAAGTGTCATGAATAAATTTGACATTAAACATAATCCAAGTTAAAGAGTTACATCATTTTCAGCCCCATTTTTGGCATCTTTGGTAAAACTGACAACAACCATGCAGAATAATGTAATATTTTAATTCTACAGCAGAGAAAGTTATGTAGTCTCTGTAAGTAGGTGTAGGGAAAAATATCGGTATTGGTATCGGTTATTGCCCAAATAAGTTTTAACATATTGACATATCGGGCACCGGCGACCCCCCCGTGACCCAAAATGGAAGAAGTGGGTAAAAGATGTTGGATCGATGTTTTGTTTTTAAATGTAACAAAAGTCTCATACATACTTTGCTAACAGACAGGTGGATGCACACAGATAATTATATTATCACCAGCCTTTCATGCGAGCAGATAGCTAAGCATACGGGTGCATTTAAATGTTGAATTTAATCCTAAACTTAAATTTTGCTTATATTTGAATTAATGTATGAAAAAAAAAAGATATTTCATGGAAAACTTTTGATTATAATTAAAAACTCAAGAAATAGAGAAAGCACATTGTATGAAAAACGCTGAAACTAACTTGTTAAAACATGAACTTGAGCTAAAATGAATCAAACGCAATCTAAAAGCTAAAAGAGCTAAAGGCAGCAATACAGTAGCTAAAATGATCAAAATGCTTAGTAAAGTTAAAATGAGCTAAATTCTGTTTTTAATCTTCAAGTTGGAGAAGTTCATCTTAAACCCTCTGTTGGTTCCTTTATTAATTTTGTTACACATTTTAAATAAAAAGGTTTGAAGAACTCACTGAGAATTGAACACAAAGGACGCAGACCTCAGAGTTGAGCATGCCCGTTAGCTAAAATCCCTTCCTTTCTCTTAATTTTATTCCTTCTCGTTTTTCCAGCCGTGCACATCGTTGCGCACCTGTTCAACTTTGAGTTTTTCATGGACGCGCAGCTGAACCGTAACAGCAGCTACCTGCCCTTCGTCCTGTCTGAAATCGGCACCGGGGACAACGCCTCCTTCCTGAACCCCATCAGGAGCAACGAGACGGTGAGTCAGTGGTCCTGGAGCGGTCCAACCTCAACTTTATCCCATCGCGCTCACTCTGCTCTTTAAAGACACAAGCTAGAAGCTAAATTGTATATACATGTAAGTAGATAAATGTTAGCCAAGATCAGCAAAACAGAAGCTAAAATGAGTAAAACTGTAGATAAAAACTAAAAAAGCGGGGCTAAAAGCTAAAGATTCGTACAGTAACTGGTTACTAGCTTACTCATCACTGTACTCTACAGTCATTGGTCATCATTATCTGCACGTAGACTCTCACACTGGTACATTTTCAACTATAAATCCCTTCTTGGTCGGCTGCCTTCTTAAAGCTCCTCCCACATGTCACATCGTAAGTGCAGTTACGGCGTGCGCTCTTAGGGATTCATTACCTGCAGCGTTCTCTCAGTGTGCACTGAACTCGGCAAAAATGCCTTTTCCTTCTCTGTTCCTGGAACACCTTGCAAAAAGATCTGAAACTGTTCAATGTCATGTCTTTAAGGGATTTTAAACGTTTGATAAGGTCAATAGAAAACTTTAAGCAAATATGTTCCTGCTTTTAGTATTTTACCGTGTTTTATACGGCATTTTGATTTTATTGTTTTTATAACACATTTTTTTTTATTTTAATTGCTTTTTATTGTTGTAGAACAGTGTAGAACAGATCTCTCTTGAAAATGAGTCCTTGTGACTGAGACTGCCTGTATAAATAAGGGCTAATTAAAATAAAATAAAATAAAATAAAATAAAAATTGGCTAAATGAGTGCTAAAAGCAACGTAGCAGAATGGTCGCTAAAGTCTAAAAATACAAAATATGTTGCTTAAAGGAGCAGAACTGTAGCAAAAACTAGCAAAACTCATACAAAAATACCAATTTATTTATTTTTTTGTTGTTGTTATGTTACGTTTGTTTATTTGTCATATGCAGGTTAACACAAGGTCAACAATGCAATGAAATGTTCACAATGAGAAGAACCAATTTGACTCGCTAAAGACAAAAATAAATAAAAATAAAATACTAAAGCATGCAATAAGGGTACAAAATAAAGTACCAAAAAGTGAAAAAAAATATTTACAAGCTACAAAAGAAACATAGTAAACAACAACATGGTAGAATATAACAGCGCAATTAGGATGAATTCATCTAAATAAGTATTTCACAGGTAATATAAGCTTAAATGCGCATGATATACATTGCACATAACGGTACCGCTTTACAATAACGCTCCCATTATAGATGGCTAATAAATAGCTTATAGATATGTTATTAATTCCTCTATAAACACTTTGTAAATCATTAATAACTGTTTATTATACATTAATTAAGGGTGACGGAGACAAAACTGACCAGTTTCTTGCCAAATAGTGATACAATAAGCATTTGTAAACCAAATTTTTTTTTAGGATATAATATTAGTTGTAGATACTTATAATGCAGTGATAAAGTACAATATTACATGCTAAAAAAAATGAGGTTTACAAATGCTTATTGCGCTTACAAGGTAGTAACTTAGTCTAAAATGTTTACTATAACAAGTCTAGATGAAATATAGAGGTGAACAGATTTGGCTCAATATTTGGCAACAAACTGGTCCGTTTTGTCTCTGTCACCCTTAATGAATGCATAATAAGCAGTTATTAATGATTTATAAAGTGTTTATAGAGGAATTAATAACATATCTATAAACTATTAGCATCTATAAGGGGAGCCTTATTAACTAATAGTTCTGAGTGCTATTACACACTAAAAACTGCTGGATTATTTTCATAACTCGTTCACTGGGTTAAGCTGGTGGCTCACGTTGGCTCGGTTTGACTAAATATTGGGTCAGATTGACTCAGTGGTCGGGTCGGAGTTGAGCCGTGTCATTGGACCTCTGCTTTTGGGGGTAGTAAGTAAAGATAAGACGGTAAAAACAAATTCTGTGAAGATGTTTAACCTGGTCGGCTGTGAATTGGGCGGCACGGCAGAAAAGTGGTTAGCGCTATTGCCTCCCATCAAGATGCTCAGAGGTTCACCTCCTGTGGAGTTTCTCCAGGTGCTCCGGTTTCCTCCGGCAGAACTGGTCACTCCAAATTGTCCTAGGTGTGATTGATTATGCACCAGCGCCCAGTGGTAAAGAAAATGGCTAAATTTTGTTAGTTTGTTATAACTATTGAGACTGGTTTCCTAAAATAACATCTCAGATCTGGTTTTTAGTGCGAGGTTAACTCTGGTGTTGCTAAACTTTGTGAAATCCCGACTGTTAGTTTCCACGTCCAGAACCAGTCCTGCTGTAATCTGCAGTTCCTCTTTCCACGTGTTGTAAACTTCTGCTTTAAAGATGATGTCATATCGTCCTCACGTTGTTCTTCAAACGTACACAGATTACAGACATCAGATCGTGATGCAACGTGCACTTTGTTATTCCTGCTTGCAGTTTAAACCAACCAGATGTTTTACTGACTCTGATGCTATTTCACGCTTCACTGTTTTCCTCTAAAACAAACAGCTGACAGATATGGACATATTTAAAAAAAAAAAAATCTAAATGGCAGCACTTTTTATTTAGTTTGTTGCAGTTTATACAATTTTTTTCTTGAAGAGATCATAAACCCTTTTAAAGTACCTCTTCACACCTTTTCTGGACCAACCTCTGTTCTTTGATCCAGCATCTGGATTCCTTACGTTTAAGCGTCTATCTTAAAAAAGACTAACCTCAAGGTCAACAAGAAGTGTTTGCCTCAGTCGCAGCAGCGAGGGGAACTTCGGGATGACAAAACACACATTTGGTAAAAGAGGGAAGTTGATCAACAGTCGTGACCTGCAGGGACGGATTTAAAAAGACACAACGAAGGAGCTAACTGATGACTAACAGCTGTGAGAAAATATTATCTAGAAGTCCTGAGGAAATTTTAAAGGTGCCAACAACTTTATGCCTTTAGCTGTGGCGGCCATCTTGAATCAGAATGGCTCCAACAGTTAACTGGAGAAATTGCATTTCCTGAGAAAATGCAGTGGGAATGCTTATTGCTGAATAACTTGCTGAAATGAGCTAAAAACATGCTGAAATGGAATAACAAGCTAAGTTAGCAGAATAAAGCTGAAAGAACACATATTTGCTGAATTAAGTTTAAATAAACAGAAATTAGTATATAATTTGGGAAATTAGCTAAAAAAAAAGCTGAAATTAATTTAAAAAATAGCTGAAAAGTAGCTGAAAAGGCAGAAAGAAGCGTAAAGTACCAGAAGAAAGTGGAAGGAGCTGAAATGAGCTCAAAAATTGTGGAATTAGTTGAAAAAGCTAAATTTAGCACAAAACAGCCAAAGTAGCTTGACTAGCAGAAAAAATCTGAAAGGAGCATAACAAGCTGAAATTAGCAGAAAATGGTAATTAGGCTGAAAGTAGCAGAAATTCCCACAAAAAACTTGAATTTATATGAAAACAGCTGAAATTAGCTAAAAATGCTAACAAGTTAGCTGAAAAGGTAGAACAAGCTTAAATTAGCTGAAGAAAGCAGAAAGAACACGTGTGCCCAGTTAGCCTGAAAGAAGCAGAAAATGAGCACAAAAATGTTGAAGTTATCTGAAAACAGCTGAAATTAACTAAAAACATGCTGAAAAGGTAGCTGAAATTCAAAAGCAAGCCTAAGTTAGCAGAATAAAGCAGAAAGAACACACATTTGCTTAATTAAGTTTAAATAAGTGGGAAATTAGTACAAAAATTAAGAAATTAGCTATAAAAAAGCTGAAATCAATTTTAAAAAATAGCTGAAAAGTAGCTGAAAAGACAGAAAGAAGCGTAAAGTACCAGAAGGAAGTGTAAGGAGCTAATATGAGCCCAAAAAATGTGGAATTAGCTAAAAAAAACTCAATTTAGCACAAGACAACCAAAGTAGCTTAACTAGCAGAAAAAGTTTAAGCTAGCACAAAAAAGATGAAAGGAGCATAACAAATTGAAGTTAGCAGAAATTAGGCTGAAAGTAGAAGAAACTACCACGGAAAACTAGAATTTAACTAAAAACAGCTTAAATCAGCTAAAAATGCTAACGAGTTATAGCTGAAAAGGTAGAATAAGCTTAAATTAGCTGAAGAAAGCAGAAAGAACATGTGTGCCCAGTTAGGCTGAAAGAAACAGAAATGAGCACAAAAAAGTGGACATCATCTGAAAAAAGCTGAAATTAGCAAAAATCAGCTATATAGTGGCTGAAATAGTAGCAAAAGCTGAAACTTGCAGAAATAAGCTAAAAGCAGCATAAGCTGAAATTAGCAGGAAAAAAGTTAGAAGCACAAAAATGTTGTATTTAGTGGAAAGAGTCAGAAAGAATCACAAAACAGCTGAAGAAACTGCTGAAATTATCTATGCTAGGTGCTATTTATAAGACTGGGTTTAGTGCAGCTCCTCAGACTGACAAAGTCTTTTGGATAACAGACAAAACATATTACCAAGATTTTTTTAATAATTTTTTAAAATCCGTCCAGAGGACCTGACTTTACTTTGTTAGATATGTATTGAAAAGATTCTAATAAAAGTAGAGCACATGTTTAATTTCACATGTCTACATTGCTTTATATCAGAGATGTTATGAATTAAAAACACTCTTCATGGTCCTTTCAGAAGGAAAAAGTCAAACTAAGTTAAAAAAGACTTCGTAGATTTACCTGACGTAAGAACTCTTTGCCGTATAGGAGAATATGAGCGAAAACCACAAGTCTTACAGCAAGAGCTAAAACTTTAGCTGCAACAGGACAAGAGTGCCTAGTACGCTTTGATGAATAATTTATGTATTGTAAAAAATAAATAACATCCGCTCATGTTGTAAT